CCCTTTGACAAATAAGGAAAGAAAAAAATGAGCAAATGCAGCCAACGGACTCATAAAAACAACATGAAGGTCAATAAGCAGTAAAGAGGAAAGTCAATGATATTTTAGAAATGAGTAGACAGGAGTGCTCATGGAGGAGGCGAGGAGCAGAGGAAAGCTGGGAGATGAAAGGGTAACATATTATCACTGGTCATAGAGCAACGAGAGCCAGATGTGTCGCCATTTAATTAAGGGAAAGGAAAAAAGGGAAGCCATTTAGGTCTCCAGTCAGGATAATTCAGACTGAAATGTAAACTCAATCCAAATATTTGTAATATTAAGACAAATACATGGAGAATGTTTTTTTTACCATCAGTGAAGGTTTATTTTCGGATGCGCCCTCTTGTTTTGAGATAAGTGTTTTGCTGGTGAGCCACCGGCATCTGCTTGCTGTTCCTCCAGTGGTCTAGTTAACTCTGCCACTAATCCAGCAGCAGAGCCTCCTCAAACCTGCTGCCTGGCCGAAGGCCGTCTTGGCGGTCTCGCTGGCACCAGACGGATGAGCAGCGGGCTGAATCACTGCAGGAAAACTAACTCCTGCGGCTGTTTGCAGAGACGCTACTTAAATAGCGAGATGCGTGGAACATAATAAGGGGCACTAACGTGGACATAATTGGAAAATAAACGCCCTCAGTTATTCGAAGTCATGTTTGTGGTCTGGCTGTAATACAGGTCTGAAAGTCAGTTAAATGAAACTCTGGTTGAGAGTACATTTTTGGAAGTAACTGATGGATTGCTGGGAAATATGTTCCAAACGTTTAACATGCCCAGGGAATACTAACGAATAGAACAAACTAGCGGCAGAGACGAGGATTTTGATTGCGGGTCTGAAGCAGGGACTCAATTCTGACCGCAGGGCATCAATGTGCATGCTGTAGCCCAGACCTTCCCAAAGTGTGGGGCCCGCCCCCTGGGGGGGGGCGCAGAGCCATGGCAGGGGGGGGGCGCAGTATGAGAAGGAAAAAAACAAAACGCTTGGACACTGCTAGCACGGGCGCCCACACAAACGCAAAGCAGGAGTTGAAGCATTCCAATGTTTCCAAACCAACTTCATTCTAAGCCAAATGAAAACTAGCCACTAGAAAATATGGTGAAGCATATCTGCCCTTTGGCTTCACCTGCACAAGTGCCAAGGTAGGTCTCCCCTGCAGAATTGGTTTTCCCTTCTTGGGAGCACGGGCTGGGCTCTCCAAATCACAGACAAACAGTATCCCACATTCTTGATTTTTAGTTCACAAACACTTGTTGTAATGACTAACTACTCCTGACATTTTGGAGATGTTAGCTCTTTATACAGTAAAGTTACAGTGGGATACAAATAATATCAGGCTGATCCTGCCACGATTTGTTCAAATCACGGACAAGAAGAAACAAAAAAACAACTACATGTAAAATAATCACACTGTGAGGCCTCTGCCTTTGTAAATGGAGGGACAGTAACTGCTTGTAAAACCTGAAGACAGTCAGATTAACAGTAGCAGTATTTCATCTCTATCTGCCATTCTGCAATTCACAGCACAGCCTGACGTGAAAAGAGGCACATACCTTTGAAGTTGCCAGACAAACTCTGTATTCCTCATCTGCAAAAGAGGAGTTTTAAAAATTCTCCGTTTTCGGTGATTTGAAACGCCGTTTACGTGTGGATGAAACAGCTGCGTTTTCAAAAATACCCGTGTAGGTGCGGACATAGCCTAAAAGAGTTAATATTAGTTTAATATAAGTTTATTTTATTAATACCTGTCATTTATTGCAGGTTACTTGTATTTGCTTAATTGTTTACTAAATGTTTGAGGTGTGAAATAAACTGCAATGGAGCAAAATATGGGTGTGTGTGGTGGGAGGATGTGTTAGTGCATGTGTGTGCGCACGTGCATGGGGGGGGCGCGAACGTTTTTCGTGTAAAACAAAGGGGGGCCCAGCAAAAGAAGTTTGGGAACCACTGCTGTAGCCGAATGCTCCCTGGTTTATCTGTTTCAATTATTTATCAGTGGTTACTGATCTCTACGGGTTGCTTACATGAAGCTCTGGCTGATGGTCTGTGAACGTTGCCTGATAACCTCAAAAAGGATTGAACTGTTAAAGATTAAGATAGCTATTCATACTCTTGGCTGAACTAGAAAGGGAGTTTGTCATCTTTCCGACAACTGTGGGTTGTTGTTAGTTCCACAAAGAAGATATATCTCTCTTAACCCCGTGTGCCATTTTATTTTGATCCAGAAAGTTAAAAATATACGCTGTTTCGCAAAAAGTCTGGCCCAAATCTAAACACCAAACATAAATTTCTTCAGCGAAATTGTGTTTCTTCCTTCTTCATTTTTCCAGCAGACATATTTCTGGCATCTCTGGACAGACAAAATCCTCAGTAGTGTTTCAGCAAATTGTAAATGAAGCAGTCTCAGAGGGGACTACACTCTCGCTCCCCCTCCCAGCCCTGATTTTAGACCAGCAGGGGGAGCACTCTGTGATGTGAGATTCTGGCCAATTACAGGTCGTTTCAGACCAGGTCAGGTGGGCATTAGAAATTCTGACAAAAGGAAAGCAGGGCTAGGTTGGGCTTGCCCACTTGTACGTGGTTTAGTTTTATAATGTTGTATTGAGTTTCAGATATAAACTCAGTGTGCTGTGTTGAGAATCATTACCATTGTGCTCTGCAGCCTCTGTATGTGATGATCTCACCTGTGTGCCTGATTAGCGTAGCATAGGTCATCTTCTTCTTTGTCTGAGCTGCAGAATAAAACTCCACACAAGCAAACACAGAGCGACTGACACTTGAATATGTTATTACATTTGATCAAATTACTCACCTTTAAAATATTAGCACACGAGTTAATGGTACATCTGTATAAAAACTGCTGACTTATTTATTTAACTGTTTATGGTTTTTGCTTAATTCATTTATTGTACACAAGTTAGCAGTTGCACAGTAAAAACAATGGCTGAAACAAGTTTTTAAGGAAGTTACACGTGCACATATTTGATCGGATTTCAGGGTTGTGGAGAGATATATCTGTTTCAATGCGTATTTAAAAAAAAGCAGCATTGTTGAGTCTTTGGCCATAAATGTGGTGCAGATGCTTGATGTTTGTTTCAGTGATAGATAATTATGAACAGCTGAACTCTGGAGCAGTGTACCAACAGCTGTCTGCATGTGTTCCACAGAGGGAGTGAGAGTAATTTTTTCAGGGCCTGAGTAAGGTAACAAGTGCAAAAGAATAAGCCGAGAAATTGAGCTACTTTTAGTACAAGGTCAGAACACCCATGCAGCATCACATTCATATGTCTGCCTTCCACCACTTCATTTATCACACGACCTTGCAGATTTATCCTCCGACCGCTTGGAAGGGCATCATCAAGTTTTGAAACTACTGTGAAATGCCGACAGTATTGACAGAGAGCGTGTCATAGCATAATGTTCATTATAAAAGTGATATAAAAGGTGAGACTTCCAGAGATTTTGTACAATTATGTCTAATGTTCATGTTTATTGAAAGAAAAAAGTGACAGAGGTGTGCTCACTGTCATGTATGCACAGAGTTCACACTCACATGCCAGTAAGAGCAAAGGTTTGAGACAAACAGGCAGAGTGAATAATCTGAAGACACATCAGTGCAAACAAACAGAACTAAAGGGCAGCATCCTTTAAGCCAAAGTGTGAAAGCACTATGGCTCTTGTATATCAGCACCCTGCTCACAGATAAATATAGCTGCAATCAGAAAAGTGCCCAAAAATGATAATGATAACAATAATACCCTTTCTTAAATAACAGAGAGTAAATAATACACTGAGAAAGCTGGAGTCACCGACTGAGATCGTTCACCAAAGACGACGGATGACCTCTTTCTTACTCTTCTCACCTGTGACCTTGCTCAACGACCGCACAGGATGATCTGCTCCCAACACATCTGGAAATGTCAGCCACCATCATCACCATCCTCAGTCATCATGTTAGTTTAGTGGAGAACTAAGTGAATATCATAATTTGTTGAGCTTGTTACCTATCACTAGTGTGGATAAACTCTCTAACTCAGTTTAGCTTCACCTGCAACAGCTGCGACAGTAAAAATATTCTTACACACTTCAAATCAAAACAAACTGACCTTAAGTATCGGTAAGATTTGGAAACACAGTCTTACTTTGGTTGTGATGCTAAAGCTTAACAACCGCCATCTCTTCAAGAGGCCATACCAGGATGGATTTGCTATAATGGCTGTGATATTCTGTACAAACATACCAGCAGTCCAAAACGCAAAGCAGAATCCATGTGACTATACAGACTTGGAGCTTTCAGTGTCCAGTCTATACTAGATGTGTTCTTCAGTGTGACATTTATTTGGATTTGATTCGGCTCAAAATCAAAATGTTGATAAGTTCCATGAAAGTCTGACTGAACATTGTCGCCTGTGGATTTCTGCCGTGCTGCATGGAGAGCAGTGTAAACTGTTCCACAAACTGCATGTTTATTACTGCGGTCATCCAAAGGCTCTGATTAGCTTTAACTACTCTGCCTACAGACTAGGATTTATTACAAGCACCAGTGCATGAAACCCTGTTCAACCTCTCTTCTAAAAATTCCCTTAAATCTAAACAAGGAAATCTGTAAGCAGGTCCTTCCTGCAGGAGAGCAGAACTTGCCTCCTGTGTCAGACCTATCTGTTGCACATTTGAAGGTGTAGATGTATATGGAACCAGAACTTTTAGGAGTTTGTTTACTCAGTATTATACGAAGATTGTGGGCACATCATCAGTTCCTCCCTCTGAACAGAAAACACCAAAATATGTCAGAAATGCCATCAGGCAGTGATATAACTTGAAGCCAGAGTTGCTGCTGGCGTGATCACGCGGCGCTGCACAGACTCTGCACATATCTGATGACGGACAGGAGAACTGCAAGTGTGTTTAATGCATGTTTGCAGTGCCTCCATCATATCTGACAGTGAATATCTGACTCTGACTCTTCCAGCCAGCTGGTGCCTTACGGATTCGGATCGGTGCGAGTGAGGAGGGAGCTGAGCCGCTGCCACTGCACGGATTCACAGGATGCTGAGTGCATGAAGTTCTGCAGCATCCAGGAGAAACCAAGGTAAGCACCGGCACATGTGACACACACACTATTGAAGACACATCGTGGACTGAGAACACTCAGAGACATGTCCTCTCTTTGTCCTCAGAGCTGAGAATGCTCCTGTGAAGAGGAAGACGGACAAACAGCTGAGAGGATACAAAGCTGCATTCTGGGAAAAGAGGAGCAGACCTGCACTCAGACAGACCTGAGGAAGAGGAGGCCGACCAGTGACACCAGCCCCTCTGGATGAAAGTCCTTGATGTATGAATGAGAACAAATGGACCCGGCATGGACATGTACAGTGTGTGTTTGTGTAAATTTAATGACAGTGGAGCGTTAGGACAGGAGTGCTGATCACTTACAAGCTCATCTTTCTAACATTTAGCTGGCATCCTGCCCTGCTCAGAATCTTTAGAGCTGAGGGAGTTGACTTTTCTGTTACCGGATGATTGCAGCTTATTTATAGCACAGAAAGATGGAGGACATCTCCATCCAGGCTGGACCAGAAACCGCTCCAGAGCGGCCAGTGTGTGTAAACCTCACATCTCTGAAGTCGTCCAAAGTTTAGAGTTTTTTTTAAATGAGTTTCAAATATGTCATCCACAGAAGCTACATAGGGTTTCTACCTCGGTAAAGGAGGTTATGGGTCATCTAAAGTAGATTCATTTGGTTGGTTTTTTTAACAGTCAAATATGATCATAAAATCTCACGAGGGTTTCAGGCTGGGTCAATCCGAGAAAACGATGAAGCAAAACCCCGAGGCCAGTAGAAGAGATAACTTCAATTTCAGGTCATTTAACACAATGAAATCACGTCAGAACAAAGTCGTCATTTCATTCGATCAAACTGAACTAAGTGGTGAATTTTTATTATTTAGAGAAAGACTTGACGAGCACAACAAATCTGATCAACCGTGAGTGTGCCGACCTCAGCAATCTACGCCGCAAAAAATGAGTTCATGAGCTTGTTTCCATGGATACATTGGTGATAAATTCTAAACTCCTTGCAGTTACTCGTACAAGACGTCATCTGTGTTAGCAGTTCCTGTTTTTGCAGCTTTCAGCTTGAACAATAGCTCTGGATTAAAAGCTTTCAGACAAAAACACCATATTCACAGTGTTATGACTCTGAGTTACAGCTTCCGTGGTTTAATCAAAAAGTCAAATGTTTTAATCTGTATAAACTTTATTTAATCTACAAATCTGATTTTTAATCTAAAAATATAAAGACTCAGATATAAAATTACAATTTTATTCTTGAAATATGTCAGAACTTCAGCAAAACAGTAAAATGCTTTGACTCTTCTTGTAAAAATGCTAACTTATTCTTAAATATGTCACAACTTGGTCTTTTTTATTTAGCATCACTTTATAATATTCAGACTTTTATCGTAAAACAAAGCAGCATATTTTAACTTTAATCCTGAGCTCCTGGATTTGTCTGAGTCTTCCTCGTGGCCTCGTGTTGCTGTCGGAGTTTCTCTCTGATTATGAATAAGCTGTTATGAACATCATGAAGTGTAAAATGTGAAGTGTTTTCATGTATTATTATAATTTTAGTTCAGCACACAGAGTGGCCAGTTTGTTCTAACAGGAAACGATGTGTCTGATTTTGAAGCTTTTGAGTCTGCTTCCTAATCAGTTAAATATGCGAACAGCTCTGTTTTTCTTTTTTTGTAATGTGGTTATAAAGTATAAAATGAACAGTTTTTCTTTAATATTTTGGAGTTGTGAGATTTTGGTATAGAGTGAGGTCACTGCCGTGCTCTATCAGGTAATAAAAGTGAAGCTGAGCAGGTGCGAAAACAATGACAGACTGTTCAGATTACAAACATTATTATTATATATTTATTATTAACATTCTGTACATTCACCTTTATTTTAAATGTGAATGTACAGAATGAGAAACATCATATGATTATTTCCACGTTTGCGACGAGGCCAACTGTGAAGGCAAAAAAAATAAATAAATAACTGAAATCTGTGTACGTGGAGGATGTGGGACAGATTCAGTTCTCTAAATGGAAGACACCACCGTTTCCATTCGATGGAGTGTCTGTGTTCTTGTGTTGCGCTATTTTTTCTTAAAATAGAGCAAAGGTCATCATACTTGCCCAGGTCTAACAAACTAACGTTGGTAGTTTGACTCATTGACTTGCACCATTGTTCTTCACTGTGGGGATTCAGGCTGGGCAGGTGTTCTGGTCGACCCACAGAGATTCACATATGAATATAATCTGCCGACATCTTTTACTTCACTCCCGTTT